ATGTATGTATGTATGTATGTATGTGTGTATGTATGTACAAACACGTTCCGTTTGCTTTGAAATTGCGCGGCTTTGTGTCACCGCTTTAATTCAGACGGACTCTCACCAGTCCTCGTGTTCCCTGACAATCGTCATCGATCAAGAGTGAAAATATATAAGCGTGTGCATGAATAATTCCACAAAGTGGACACGACAAAAAGCAATATATTAAATAGAGTGATCATTTCTTGGTTCGGGAACACTCTCGCCCAAAACGCGGTGAATTAAGCTCTTAATTCGAGTCTGAATCTTGATGGATTTCATCGATCTCTAAGGTCTGCCCTATGTTAGCGTTACGTTGCAACCGTGTAATAAAAACTGATGCTTAATGACACACGTAAACACGAAGGAAAGAATTGCAACGAGGCAACGTATCCGCCCGGCGAAGAGGGAAGGAAATTCCGCAGGATTTTCCCTTGCCCATCTAAGTGGAACAGTCGGACTTTTATCGATTCGATTTAAATCCGTCCACCACGAAGACCAGCGCGAGGAAGGCGCGTAAGTTTTCCTTCTTTCAAGAAGAGGCCAAGCCCCTGTTGGCGACTTTCAAATCGCGGCCCGACGAAGAAGTCCACGATCAGTTCAAGTGATCTTGTCCCGCGTTAAATCTTGAAATTTAACCAAACCAATGAACGAGAGGGAAGAAAAGAGGAAACAAGAGATCACTTTGTAAGAAGAACGGTGATCGCGAGGTGTGCTCAGTAAATGGTCAAGGTGGCCGTTATAATAATCACGTTGGCTTCGTAACAGATGCTATCTGACTAAACCAAAAAAAGGCATGACCCATGAAATTTCAAGTACGACCTCGTGCGCCAGTCACGAGAGCGGCCACGCGCTCTGCGAATTCCACCAATGCGTCAGAAATTCAAAACAAACGAGATTTGGATTGTTCCAAAGGGACCTCAGCTCAAACGGGACGAAACTCTCTGAAAAATAGTCCAAAGAAAGAGACAAAGAGAGAGACCGAATAAATCACCTGCTCCTTATCAAAAGACACCACAAAAGATCTTATCTTGGTTTTCATTCAACTCGAAACACTTTGAAACTTTATAAATCTGATCCTTGCCCGCACTTCAACCTCTTCGAGAATCTTCAAACTTTCTAGAAACTTGCTCGCCACAATGACATTCACAATGATCCGACCGGATCGTCGAATTAGCCTCTCGAATTAGCCATTAACCGTGTCACCCAAGTATGCTTGTACTCTCTACTACTTTCAGAGAACCGTGTCAGCCAACGAGCTGAGCAAAGCAAAGCCAGATGAAAGCGTGTCGCGAGTAGAAGACTGGCGTCTTACCTGGCTACCAGGTGGACAGCGAGTCGGAGTCGCCGGGCAGGGTGCATTTACGAGGGTGCAAGCCTCGAGGAAGCGTCGGTGATCGGCATCGACGTGCCGCGGCGTCGATTCGCGTCTTCGCGTGAGCACGAACGCGTTCTTACTGCCGCGGGGTTGGCCGGCTCGGCGGTTCGTCGAGAAAGCGAGGGTACGTGCTGGTCACTCGGCAGGCGCTGGCGCGATGACCAGACGTCGAGGAAACGTGATCGTCTGTCAACCAACTTGGACGTCCAAAATTTAGATGGTTAACACGGTGAGAATCACGCCAGAATTCATTCGTTCTTATATTGAAGGATAAAAAGATCGACTCTGCGGTTGACGTTCTTCGAATTGTGTCGTAATTCTGTAACTGCGGATCTTCATGCGGAAATTTCAAGGCGCAAACACAGAGTGCACGTATAATATTTAACCTGTTGCGATATTTAACGGATGAAACAATTGTATTCGCAGATATAAGAATCTTGTACATAGTAGCGTGCTACTGAAAGTGGTATATAATTTTGACTAATAATAAGAGAAAGTAAGGATGCTCCATTTCAATATGGATACTCGTCTGTTGACTAAATTCCTTATTTACTTCGAGTCGCTTGGTCAATTATTCCGAGTTTATTTTCACGATCCCAGAAAAAAAAAAAAAAAAGAAAATGAACGTATATTAGTTTTAACTTGTCGTAGAACTGTATGAGTTTTGTAGAAACTCTGTTAAATGCAAAGTATCATTAACGTGGTTCTTCAATCGTAAATAATGAAAGTAACGTTGAATGAGTGGCATTGTTTCTGCTGAATGAAAGGAAAGGATACTGGTAGCCGCGTGGAGAAGATGGAGAAGAAACAGTAGGAAGTGCGATTGTTTCTAATTCTCTTACGTAATATCGATCGCCGAACAAAATGAAACCTCTCGTCCAATCATGCACCGGATCGCGTACATGGTGAAAAGTGTTACAACACTTGTGGACAATCAGATATATCGGTCAGGGTACGCGTTATACGAGAGTATTCTATAATACAGCGAGGCAGGCGAGGCCGTTCATTCATTCATTTGGCCGAGCCAGGTTTGCTGGATCCAAATTATTGGAACATTAGCTTGATTGAAGCGAGCTGGGCTCGGCCCGATCGCGTGATCGATTTTCCGCATATGTGTCTCCCGCGGTGCCTGGAACTCGCGGTTGCGCTAGAATTTACGAAATCGAGATCAGATTTATCAAACTCACTCGAAGCGAAAACTAACAAACGTAAAAACGTTGGTGTTATCAATTCACATTATTACGACAATCAATTTGTTAATTCAATCTGTAGATGAATAGCAAAACAAGAGTGTTCAATTGTAAATAACAGGTGAAGAGACATCGGTAAAGGAAACTCGATCGGTTTTACTTTAAACACATTTTATTTGACCGTATATTTACAGTTTACATAATCAGAATCGTCGCCACGATTACATACGGTACATCCGAATTCCGAGTTAAATGGATAACTGCTTACTACACGGATGTAATTCCGTGCGATATCGAAATACCGATCAGTCTGTTTCAATGAAATCTCAGTCGATATCTGTGCACCTCGATCATCCGCGTCAAATTCGTAGCTCTCACTTAATCATTCGAAGGCCATCTTAACTTTATCAAAGTCTGAAGAATGTGACGAGGTAGTCGAAGAAGAATCGAGGATATCTCATTGTTCTTTCAATTGTTTTGCTATTAGCACAATAACAACGCGTCTCGAACGTACGTACTAAATG